TGATATCAGTCGAAAAAAACATATATTAGAAAAATAGGTTAAATATATATGATGATGCTTGTACTTATCATTATACATACATTTGATATTTTATTTGGCAGCAATAATTTTTGCCACCACAGCTTCAACTTTTGTTTTAAATCTATCTGAATCGTTCATCAAATGAGCCAATTCACGGAGGTTATCAGTATCTAGAAGAATCTTTTTTATTTTGCTTGCTTGAGCCTTCATTCCAAGATTCTAATAAAAGAATATGTAAAGATCTCAATTATTAAATTATATCAGAAATTTGATAGTTACAAGTAAAACGCAAATAAATAATAAATTACCTTGAATTTGTGTACATTTAGTATATCAATGTCGATACTACATTTTTAAAGATAATGAATTTACCTCATTTTGGAACATACAAACCGACATTTGTAGGATCTAAATATTTGATATATGAATATAATCTGAAATGTCATTTTGATTCTAAAATAAATGTTTACTGTAGCAGTTTGAATTGATATTAAATTGGAGTAAATATTCGACTAATGTAAGTTACATTTTCCTCATCCTCATCAAAGTCCATATAATTTCTGCCTCTCTAGTTTAAAGTGCTCTTTAATTTCTTTATGCGTTTTAGAATATTCTAAAGAGATGGTCGTTCACCTGTTACGATCTCGTACATACAGTTCTGGCAGAAAGTAATTGGTGATGACACTTTCATGCATATTTTACGCAGTGTAGCTCTCAGCCAAAATTGGATTAAATTCCTGATGAAAATATTTGATCAATTAAGTAATGTATTACATTTTTCTATTTTACTCAATTATCAAAGTATTTACTAATTTCACACTATTTATTTTTTACAAATGGCACAAAACACTGTAAAATTGAACCATAAAGTCGTTAAGTTCTTTTGGCACAAAAATACTATACTAATACCAAAATAGCTAGAAAATTTGGAGTTCCTCTTCATTCTGTTGAACAATATATGTCTTTTCTTCAGCTAAAATAAAAGTTTGGCTTGAAGAAACTCATCCAGGCTTTGAAATTAGTAAATGAACTATTTGTAATGAGCTTTTAGTCTTGATTATCTTTTAATATTGCTAATATATATTTCACTTCTTATTCAATATACAAAAGAAAATTGACTTCAATAATTATATAATTATATTAATTATATATATAATTAGAATAAGATTATATTTTCTAATAAGATAATTTGCAGTTCCCAAAATATTTGTTATATATGATTTCATTCTGGTAAATTAATTATATTATTGATAAAATACTTATTTAGTAAGAAATATAATTTTATATATATAGAAAAGTAGATATATATACTTTTATATAAAATATAGATTACTATTTTTATTATCAAATTCTTAATAATTATTTATATAAAAATATAACTTATATATTTAGATATCAATAATAATTCTTTTAACAAAATAATAATTCCAATATAAAATATAACTTATATATTTAGATATCAATAATAATTCTTTTAACAAAATAATAATTCCAATATATCTCAAATAATATTTAATTCTGAAATATATTTCACTTTAATTATTATATAATTTAAATAGAGAAAAAAGTTAAAAGAATAATAATATAAAAGCAAAATATATTACAAAATATATTTGTTATATTAATAAAGAATAAATAAGAGAATTTTTCAAATATAATAGTATTTATAAAATGAAAATTATATTTAAGAATATATTATTATGAAAAAAAATTATATAAAATATTATAATTTATTTATAATAATTATTAATTTTAATTTTATTTTAATAAAACCAACTATTATAACTTTTATTAGAATTATAATTATTTTAAATCTATAAATATCTGTATTATTAATTTATAATTTTTTATTTAACATCTTAAAACTTATATTAAATAGTATTTCACAAATTTCTTACTTAGATTTGTTTGAATAATGAGTTCAAAATCAGTAATTTAAGAATAAATTTTCTTTAATATATCTTTTTTTAAATAAAAGTCATAATATAAACTTTATAAATTTTTTTCAGCTTAAAAATAATTTTAATTAAATATATAAATTTTTAATTTCAAGTCAATTTTTCATAATTAGAATTAATATATATATATATATATTTTTATAAAGATCACTATTTTTTATATAGTTTATTATTATCAAATTATTATTTATATAGAAGATAAAAACAAAAATATTATATAATTAGATTTTATTATTTTTTTTAATAAGATCATGATGTTTATTTTTATATATTTAGATTTATTGAAATTTGATATTTAGTATATACTTCTTTAATATTAGATTTAAATTAGAACTTTGATATAATTATGAAAGTATCTTTATATTTTAGGAAAGCAAAAACTCAATTTTTAATATATGAACTAATATATTATTTTTCTGAAAAATAAATTTTTTTTTATTTGCCTGGAGAATTCTTTGAGTATAAAAATTGTATTAGTGACAAGCAATTTTTTTATACTTTTTCAGTTACTGAATCTTCAAGTGGAATAGTCAGATCTAATCTTAAAAAGAAAAAGCATATTCAAAATATTCTTTGAGAAGATTATTTCATTATTAATACAATGCAATCTTCATGAAATTCATCTTCTAATTCTCATCTCCAACCAGCTTTTTGAAACTGGAAAAAAGTGAACTCATCTATTCAGACGACCTTTTTCTAGTTATTCACAGGCCAATATCTTCTTTCCATTACTTATACAAGCCTTTTGACTTTGTTTGTTGCCAATATAAAAGGCTTCTTTTGAGGGATGCAGGAATGAATATTTTCCTTGTGAAGTGCATGATGAATTATTTTTGTAGAGACTGGTTTATTGATTTTAACAAAAATTATATTTGTAATTTCTGTTAAACTTTTTCATGATTCTTTATTCTTGAGAATAACAGCTTTTAATCTTTGCCTTTTTTGGCTATCAAGGATGCATGGTCGACCTTAGAAGTTTCTACTGACTCATAAGCTGCAAAAAATCATGTAACAGTGGTGCAATGTCATCCTATAATTTTTGCAATTGTTGTATTGTTGTGACCCAATTTTTTGGCTTTGATCATGCTTCCGTTTTGGATAGAGTAAGTTCTTTGGCGAGAGCCATTTTATGTGACAAATTGAAAAATAGAGTTTTTAAACGTGATTTTATGAATTGCAACACATTAAATCAAAACAATAAACAAACATCCCATTTAAGTAACTGATAGCAAATATGGCATTAAAATTATATAAGTAGTTACATATAAAAAAATTTATTCAATTATCTAAATTTCGACCGTGCAATATTTTGTTCCCCCCCGGTAACTTGGTTTTAGTTATTCCATAATAATTAATAATATAGCTACCGAATTTAAGAACAGTCTTAATCTATTTTTGAAAAATTTGATTGTATTAAAAAATAAAAAGTTACATTTTAGTAGAAAATGTTTATTTTTACCTCGTTTATAAACTCCCGGGTAATTTGATTGAATGATGCAACGATTTCAATGCAACCTCTGCGTTGTCCATGTCGTTTGAATTTATTTTTTCATGATTCCATTTGTCAAGGTATACGTCCAACCAAGTTGCTTTATAAATTGACCCAAAACCTCCTTCTGCAAGATGGTAAATCTTTCAAAAGGAATCATTAATTGAACAATTAAAGAGTCTAGATGAAAATGTTTTAAAAAATCCAAAGATAATATATCTAAACCAAAGTAGAAGAAAAATAAACTTTTTGAATTATATTGATATGTATAAGGAGAATATTAATAGTCAAAAATTATCGAAAAATAATCAGGATACTCTCATACTAAGAATTATTATCAATCAAAAGATGGTTCCATTTTCATGCATACTCAAATACAAATTTCATTTGACTTCGTTTTTTCTCTTGGTTGGCTATACAAATGAAATTTTAAACAGACCATATGATAAATTAGCTGTAACGAAACTTGACATGTACAAGTATTTGAAACTTAAACTGTATTCCTAACGACTGAATTTCTGGATTGTATATTATCATTATTATTTTATTCGTTACACATATAAAATTAAGGTTTTAACGAACATGGGCGTTTTCTTGGCAATCAAAAAAATCAATAATCATTCGATAGGAATTTTATTATAAATTGACTTGTGTCTTTTGTTTTACATACAATGAGTAAATGAATTCAGTAAACAGTTTCGATCATTAACTTTATCTTTTTTTAAAACATAATGTTTCCGTTTTGATTCCGACGACGTAGTACATTTATGTTGCCATCATTAATTCATGCTTTTTTGTTTACTGTGCTGCGTTTTCTAATATTTAATATACAATAGTTGCGCTACCATATACATGTGCATATCGATATAGCAATTTTCTATAGAATTTCAATATATATATACATGTACATATAGAGGTACATGTACTGCCACTTTACAAAGACACTTTACGAAGACAATTTCTGCCATTTTACAAAGACAATTTCTACCACTTTACAAAGACCATTTCTGCCACCTTACAAAGACAATTTCTGCCACCTTACAAAGACAATGTCCAATGTTTAATCACGAATTTAATTATATATACATGTACTGCCACTTTACAAAGACAATTTCTAATGTTTAATCACGAATTTAATTATATATACATGTAGGTGTACATGTACTCCACTTTACCAAGACAATTTCTACCACTTTACAAAGACAATTTCTGCCACCTTAAAAAGACAATGTCTAATGTTTAATCACGAATTTAATTATATATACATGTAGATTCAAAATCCTTTATAATATTACATGACCGTAAGCATGCCGTTATCAAGCAAAAGTAGGATTTAGATTTATCTTCGCTTTGTTCTCATGTTTGCTACACAACTGAGATGTTGAAATATGTATTACATTAAATTCTCTATAAAAACGTTTATAATTCAGCTGTTCGAATTTCAATATACACGTACATTTACATTACTTATTAATCTTAAATAATACCACTAGATCTCAAGTTACTCTCACAACTTTAAAATTTTATTAACTATGAAGTCCGCACAATCTCAAGGTTATTCTCCAACTCCAAAATTCCTTTTAACTAACGACAAAGAAATTAAAGAGTTGGCAGACTATATACTTGAACAAAGAAAAACTCGAGCAGATCATTATGTGATGTTGGGTAAAATCAACAGGGCTGCGTCGTGCATCATAAATTGCGATATTCTCTTTACAGTGATTGGGAAACTAATAGATTATGCTGACAAACGTGAAGAACTTCACGATCAATTTATGGAACGAAAAATCGATCGCGCCATCTTAAGTAATGCCGTCCACTCATTGAAAGCCGAAATGTCTGCCATTAAAACCCGCATAGCATTTATGGAAAATACTGAAACGTCTTTTGATGATAGAAAACTTGAAGTACCATCCGCTTTCCATTCCTGCGAGAAAATTCTAAACTATTTCGAAAATAAAGAACATGTCTTTTATCAACATCCGCTTATCACAGCCCCATCTTTGATTGCATTTTCCCAGTTATATACATCTATTTGTGCACATGGAGTTGAACTTCTACCAGGATACATAGACAAAGCTAACAGTGAAAAAAAACGACTAAGAGATTTGATTGAAGAATACAAAGTAAATACTATCGAGGAAAGACTCAAAATGATCAAAATTGTGCAGACGATAAAGGTACCAGATTGTGACAGCAAGCTTAAAGATATCAAGGTACAAGTAACCAATGCTGGAAGTTTTAAAAACGTTCTGAGCTGCTTGAAAAATAATATAAAATTACATGAAGTAGATATTGTCAAAGATGGCTTTGGATATGGAAGCAAACCCGATGAATTACATTATTGGGATCGTACACTTTGGGCTCGGGAACTGAAATCTGCGTGCAATTATGAATATTCAATGGTAGTACAAATTTCATACAACGATTATTTTGATAAAATCATTAATACTATTTCTTGAATTTTCAATTTGTTTCTATATAATGCACATGTATTATTAGTTTGTAAACATAATTCAATATTTTAGGATTATTGTAGTAGTATCGTAATATAGATTTTAAATCAGGTCGTCACTAGTGTATAACACTTTATAGTATCCCTCGAAAAATAATACCCTCAGATCCAGAACTTTACACTATTTATTTTAATTTAAACTTTTAACCTTTTGGTGCTGCATTATACATGTATTTGCTTGTCTTAAACATAGAATAAAAAATTTTTATTTTTGGTATTTGGTATAATATACAGTGGCATAGTACATGTATATCATTGTGAACAATACTAAATTTAAATACCAAGCTAAATACATGTAAGCAGAGAATAAAATTTCATGATCTTCAAATTGAAGAAATTGACATCGAAATCCCGAATGAACGATATCCTGAAAGAACGACATTCTGAAAGATCGAAATTCTGAATGAATGATATCCCGAATGAATGACATCCTGAATGAACAACATTCTGAAAAAATGACATTCTGAATGAACGACATCCCGAATGTACGAAATCCTGAAAGTATAGTACACGTATCCATGAAATACTAAAATTATCACATGATGTCGTTCATGCAGGATTTCATACTTTCAGGATGTCATGCATTTGGGATGTCTTTCAGGATTTGGATTTTTTGGAATGTCAATCTTTTGGAATATCATTCATTCAGGATCTCGATCTTTCAATCTTTCGGGATGTCGTTTATTCAGGATTTGTGATCCGGGCTAATGAACATTCAGAATTTCGTGATTCGGATTTTGTACAAGACTCAATTTAAGTATACATATATGTACTAATAATAAATTGAAAAAACATATAATATTTTGATTTGAAAAATTTTTTAAATAATTTAATTTTATTTACACATAAAATTTTACTTGAAAAATTATATTTAATTATTTAAAAAAATATAGTGAATGTTGAAAGTTTTTAATACAAATTTTCTAATTATAATAGTAAATATTTTTTATTATACTAAAACAAAGATAATAATCATATTTAAATGTTTAATTCTTGATAAGTTTATTCTGATTACAAAGTGACCAAAAATTTTTCCAAAGCAATAACTCTGATGACCCCGATACTGAGATATCAACAAACTTATATACAGTGGCCATCAAAAGTAATGCAACGCTTAAATTTTTTACTAATTATAATTAGTAAAATACATGATTTTCCTTACATATAAAAGTTTTTAATTTTACTA